TGAGTCGCTTCGGTCATCCATCTATGTTTATGGACCACTCTCCCTCGGAAACATCAAACGTTCTTTCTACTATCTCAACATACTGGCTCAACGCATGCCAAACGAAGAATCGAAAATGGGGCTCTCCCTCTATATAAGGTGGAACTCCGATTTGACCTTGATCCGGCAGCACTTCAAAGCTCCTATTATCGCAAGGCAGTAAAGGCTAAGCCGGTTAAACCATAACTACTGCGATCATCCAGGCGATCTTCCTTGGAAGAAGATAGGAGTCGCGGAAGCCAAGGTAGAAGGAGAGTTTATGCTGTACGGAATCAGTAGGAGAAAAATTAACAGAAGGTTTGACTCGGTCTGGGGTGGAGTTCGACCATGAGGAGCGAGGGAGAGAGCGCCGCAGTCTCGCGTCCGCCGCGCACCGGGGCCAAAGGCTGAGTTAGTTCCGCCTTGCCTGTTCAATGGGCTTAGTGTCAGGTGTGTTTCTGTCAGCGCTGACCACAAATCCCGCGCATACCAGTAATCAGCGATAAGCAAAATCGACTGACTGATTGACTGACTTGACTGCCACTTCACGCTTAGTAGATCTGTCATCACAAGTGGCGAGGCAAGTCCAGTGGGAACCAGTAATCTGCGATGCGCCAAAAATCGATTGACTGGCCACGTTGACAGAGCAGGCAGAATGAGTGATCACGGCAGCGCTGGGGGGCAGGCTCCTACACTCTGTCCAATCAATTCGCGCTGCCTTCTAGTTATGCGAACTGCAATGACCGCGTCTGCAGTCACCTCTACCGCACCTATGGTCCTAAGCTATGCGGCCTTGTCACGTTCTTTCTCATATCGAGCTAAAACCGACTGCTGACGAATGTGGCGGGTTCGTCTGTTTTTGTCACAGCAAAGGCGCATCATGTTCGCATCTCCGGTTCTTGGGGATGTTCTCATAACTCTGCGGTCTCCTCTTCGTGTGACCCTTTGGATAAGGATGTTACTCCTCATGGACCCCCTAGCTGTCGCCAAAATTCACAGCAGCATGCCGTTCCTATTTTTTACATTCTTTCTTCCCACAAGAGACTGTTATTCTCCTAAAAAACACAATTGACATTCCTTTTTTGAATTCTGAGCCATGGCTTAGGAGTTTTTTCATTTTCTGTTCTTTTTGCTCAATTACACCTGCTGGCTCGTGTTAACTGTCATCACCACATGTGGCTGTAGTACTTGGAACAAACGAGTAGTCGCTTCAATTATGTAAACGGGTCCTTTAAAATGTTCGGCAGTGCCGATGCATTGCTTAACTACCGTATACCAATAGGGAGTTCAAAGTCATTTGCCGATATTTCCCTTAGTACACATGACTGGACTACTTACAGAGGGTCGCAAGTAGCAATTGTTGATTATTTATACGGAGCCATCTAAAGTAGATTCACTGTCTGATGAAATGTCACCAGCAATTCCGAAATTCGTTTTCGATTCAAACATATTCATTACATATGGTTGTGATATTGACGTTTGTACAACCTAATTTTGATATACTTTGGTCACTTCAGGATGCCGGCTTTCTAAAGAGCTTCTTTCTGGCCGCTAATAAATAGTATGTGCTCTAAAAATGGGCTACCTGAGTATTAAATATTTTCATCATTGATTTTGACTGCCTTCTATAAATTGAAAAATATATTTTAAGGAAAATATAAACGAAAAAATTATTTCTCGAACTTGTTTTGTAGCAAATTGCGTCTTCTTTAAATTTTATACTTAAAGAAGGTGTATCTCTCCGTTTTAAAAGAGTCTCCAATTATGAACTTTTAACGATTGTGAGGTTTTTTATTCATTATACATCACATCCGTCAATTTAGTAATGCTGCCTATGATGCATACAGTATGTTCCATATCTATTGCAACATTTTATGAGAACTATGTGACTGCTTCCTACAGCCGTAGACAAAAGCTTACTTTTCCTTAAACAAGGTGTACATAGCACGCAATTTGTAAACCTTGAATTCGAGTGTAACAGTCAGTAGGTTTACAAATTATTCGGTAATTTATAAACTCTTTAAAACCAAAAGTCACCCTTCCTTTAAGTACAAAATTTAAAGAAGGCACAGTTTGCTACGAAACGAGTACAAGAAATAATTTTTTCGTTTATGTTTTCCGTAAAATATATTTTAATTTATAAAAGCAGTCAAAATCAATGATGAAGATGCACATTACTTAAGTAGCCTCTTTTTACAGCACATACTTTTATTAGTGGTCAGAAAGAAGCTCGTTAAAAAGCCGGCATCCTAAAGTGACCAAAATATATTAAGATTAGGCTGTACAAACGTCAATATCACGACCATATGTAATTACTATGTTTGAATCAAAAGAGCATTTCAGAACTCCTGGTGACATTTTTTCAGATAGGGAATCTACTGTAGTTGTGTGTTTGAGTTTCCAAAACTCCATTAAATTATCTACTATGCCGATGACTTAAAGCCTCTATGTTTTACTGAAATGAGTAATCCGCAGTAGTAGGTAAGTCCTTCGTAAAGATGCGAGTGCGAACATTTATAGGGCTATCTTGTATGTCATCTCTTAGGGACATGCACTCATCAACACTCAAGGTGCAACTCCAGCCACTGTTCCTCCCAACTGTCAGATCAGAGTCTGCATTGCGATGGGGAATTAATAGCAATGCGTGATGGCCTCTGAAAGAACCTTCATCTGAAAAGATTATTTGGCAAACATGTTTTCACAATGCATCATCAGGCCAGTACAATGGTAGGGATGATGACAATCGTACAGTTGGACCGTGTATATAAGCCTCGATCGATTACAACTCATAGTTGTCACGCTGCCCGCATGGCGACATCGTTCATCCGCTCGTGAATGTGGGAGGGGAGGAAATTAGGATAGGTTGTGAGCATTGGTCATTGGTAGGGTACGTGGAGTGATAATTACCATCACTTGCATGGAGTGAAAAACTGCCACTATAGTGTGGTGACGATGTGCGATAGCCACCTGATATCAGGGTCGGCAGCGGAAGTGAAAGTGCTTGTGTTAGCATCTTCTGACAACCCTGGACTGCATTCGCTAGCCGTATAGCCACTGCTCCGGCTGTTGCTAGCACCCGTTGGCGTAGGCCCTTGGAAAAGTTAGCTGGTTTCGGGTAGATAAACTGAAAGGCTTTATTATATCGACCTGGTGATTCGTATTGACAAGCTGTGCTAGAATAGAACTCGAGGTCGATTTAGTTTAAGCTTTACTTAACAAGGCCGGTATATATTCAACTACGGTCTTTTCTAGGTTCCGCTAATGTATCCAACTCCACAGGCGCGAGCGAAAGAGTAAATTCGCATGATATGGGCTTCAACGGGCGTCGGATATTACCATCCAATCGTAGGAGGGGAGAGTTCACGAAGAACACGTGTATGTTAGCCGCGGGGAAAGTGCTAGTGACCGGAGTCTTTAGGCGTGGCGTTATCACTTAGCTTGTCGCATCGCCTAAAAAAAGCAGTCTTATGAACACTTCTTTCTTTTCCGGGATTAAGGTAGCAGGCTTTTTAGTGTGATTGCCAATATTTCTGAGGATTGAACCTTTTGGGTATTCAGTTTCAAGCAGATGTTGGAGTTCTGCCTCGACAGATTCAGGTGGCAGATCCGGCGTACTCTAGCTGCTAATCCCTGGACTACGTTTCATTTTACGTTTAAGGAAACAAAATTGTGAAAGTTGCTGTATTGTCCCACCCATGGGAAAAGTTGCAGTCCTCAGGGATTTGTTTGTTAGTTTAGCCTGGTATTGAAATTTTTTATTAGATACCTGTTAGCACAGACATTTTGGGCCAATGAAAAACGAATGGCATTTAACATTTTAAAAAAAAACAAGCAATGCGCAAACCTTAATAGCTCAGATTCGTCTATATGCAGTCTAAAGCACAGCGTTGCACAGTTGTTAAGTTTTTATATAGAAATATTAGATTTTGCCGATTTTATGCCGTGAGTGTTGAACCTGAAAAGTGGACATGGGTAGACCAGCAACAAACTATGACTCACCCAGCAATTCTTTCTGCTTGGACATGTGGAAGCCGTATACAGTTTTCTCCAAAGACCACCCGCGGAAGTGAATCACTCTCGGGTACCAGGAATAAAAGAAAACATAGACGCAAAAAGAAAATTAGAAACAGTCAGTTGCCGCCAGCCCTGGGCTAAATCAAGACTCATGATATGTTACAGTCCGTCCTCGTTTTAGGGGCCCCCCAGACTCACTCTCTAATTTTCTGTCGAAAAAAAAGAAAGATGCACAGAAAATGGCGTTTGGATGCTTCGCCACGTACGTTCATCTCGTCAGGGCTATTTGGGTATTTTAACATACATTCTGTGTATTTGGTGTTTTTTAACTTCATTTGAACCTCAGAAATGTTCTCCTTATAAAGGATGCATTTTAGGTTTGTTATATTGAAAAAATAGGCAGGATAGGGGCAGAATTTAACGTTTTCGATTATCCAAGCAATTTGCTAAGCTATTAAATAGGACTGCCCAAAACCTATCTTTTGTGTTCTTTGCGTTTTAACATTCTGCCTATGCACGGCACACCAAACTGGGTTTACGAGTTTACCTGTAGTTGCGGATGCAAATACATCGGGCGCACACAAAGGCAATTGGCAACGCGGTCAACTGAACATATACCAAGGTGGTTGCTCAGAGAGGAACATAAAGTAACTA